TTTAGGGGAAAATGAAACTGTGAAAACTTTGGGTCTACTTTGGTCACACGCGGAAGATACATTTTCATTTAAAATTGACCTTGAATGTCAGTCAAAAACCGTTACGAAACGTACCATGTTATCATGTATTGCCAAAATCTTCGATCCCTTAAGTTTGCTTAGTCCAAGCGTTATTATCGCAAAAATAATGTTACAACAGTTATGGAAAGAAAAGCTCTCTTGGGACGACGAAATTTCTCTAAATCTTAAAGTCAAATGGACCAACTTTCGAGCGCAATTAAGCTCATTAAATTATTTACAAATAACTAGACACGTTATATGCCAAAACGTAAACTTCGTTGAAGTTCATTTTTTCTCCGATGCTTCAGAGACTGCTTACGGTAGTTGTGCATACATAAGGTCTATTGATCAAAATGGGAACATTTTCTGTCATTTATTGTGCTCAAAATCAAAGGTTGGCCAATAAAACCAACAACAGTTCCAAGACTTGAACTTTGTGCCGCACTCATTCTATCAAGATTGGCTGTTAAGGTATTGTCTTCTTTGAGACTCAAAATAGACAGGGTTCTTTACTGGTATGACTCCAAAATTGTTCTTGGATGGATCAAAACGTCGGCTAATATATTGAAACCTTTTGTGAGAAATAGAGTAATAGAAATACAAGATTCGACCACTGTGTCAAATTGGCGCTATGTTTCAACTCTTGATAATCCTGCAGATCTACTAACCCGGGGGGTAAATCCGGACATAATACAATATTCTGAACTTTGGTGGTATGGTCCTTCATGGCTAAGAAATCACGATAGTACTTGGCCCTCTCATTCTGATCATATCGCAGTCCTGCCGGAAACTCAAGAAGGTGTAGCACCAATTCATTGTTTCGTCGACATTAATAAGAACAGACACGAAATATTAAGTTTTCCTTTCGAAACATTTTCAAATATCGATCGCCTTGTAAGAACTTGTGCTTACATACTTCGTTTTAAAAACGGATTGTCAAGGACATATTCCAAACTCAGCGGACCCCTTTCGGTCGATGAAATTTCACAAGCACACAATATATTAATAAAAATATCACAGTTTAATTCTTTTGAACAAGAAATTGAAGTTTTAAATAATAATAAATGTCTATCAAATAAAAGTAAAATTTTGAATTTAAATCCATTTGTGGATGATCTAGGTTTAGTTCGCGTAGGAGGAAGACTCCTGAATACGCCTTTCAGTCCTGATAAAAAATATCCAATAATTTTATCACCTAAGCATTGTCTATCAAAACTTATTATAAAAAATGAACACGAGAAACTATTACATGCGGGCCTACAACAAGTTATGTTCAGCTTAAGAGAAAAATATTGGATTATATCTTCTCGAAATTTAATAAAAAACGTAATTAAAAACTGTATAATTTGCCATCGTTATAAAGCAAAACCATTACAAATTACTATGGGCAACTTACCTGGGAATCGGTTCTTATCGGGATTTCCATTTCAAGCAACCGGGGTAGATTATGCAGGCCCCATAATGATTAATAGTAGAAAGGGAAGGGGTAGCCAACTATTTAAGTCGTACATTTGTTTATTTGTGTGTTTTTCTACTAAATGTATACATTTGGAATTAGTATCTGACCTTTCTACGCCTACTTTTCTCTTAGCTTTCAAACGCTTTATATCTCGACGGGGAAAACCGTTACACATGTATTCGGATAATGGTTCCCAATTTGTACGGGCAAACAAAGATTTGAAAGAACTAAGTCAATGTCTTCGTAAAAATCAAATTGATATAACAGATTCGTTGAGTAGTCTTGGCATCAAATGGCACTTTGGTCCAGCTTATGCGCCGACATTTGGTGGTCTGTGGGAGGCCGGCATCAAATCAACAAAATATCATTTAAAACGTTTTATGGGAAACTCTCATATGACCTTCGAAGAATTAACTACCTTATTATCTCAAATAGAGGGTATCCTCAATTCGAGACCTATTTCTCCACTTTCCACCGATCCTCAAGACTTAAATCCCTTGACTCCGGCTCACTTTTTGGTTGGCCGCCCGCTCACATCTCCTTCAGAACAAGATGTAACCGAGATAGCTGAGAACCGGTTAACTCGTTATCAGCGAGTCGAACAATTGCGACAACACTTTTGGCAGCGTTGGCGAAAGGACTACGTGAATCAATTGCAGCAACGTTCAAAGTGGAAAGGCAGCAATGGTGAGCTTGTTATTGGCTCATTAGTTCTAATCAAAGAAGATGACGTCCCACCACTCAAATGGCCTATGGGACGCATACTCCAGTTATTTCCTGGACCAGACGGAATTAGCTGTGTAGCATCAATCCTTACAGCTTCTGGTGTTATTAAAAGGGCTTACACCAAAATATGTCCACTTCCCGTATCCGCTTCAAATTTAAAAGGCTAATGTCTTTTAAGGGCCGGGGCATGTTTCTGACTATAATTTGTTCTTGGTTTCCCGGACTAATGGTCTAGTGTATTTTAATAACTATGTGGACCTGATTGTGACGACGCCGAAGACAGTGCATCTGTTGTTCTTTGTTTTTGTATCGCGGCGAGTTGTGAGACAATATATTCATTATTCTGATGTCACCTGATCCTAAATTGTTTTAAACTTTTAAAATGCAACATATTTACGTGGAACAAAAAATGAGACAAGCTTTCGTGGTAGACAAGAAAGCATCAAATGTAATAGAGCTATCATGTAACAAATTTTCAAGTAAACATTATTGTTTAAAATAAAACTTATAAAATTACATACAGTCCATTATCATTAATCCAAAACACCCACTTTCTAGAAAACTTAAGATGTAGAGATACGTCATGTACTCTAAGAGGAAAATTGCTCCATATCAATTACTCAAAATGAACTTCATCATTAGCTGATGGTCTGCGTAGAGACAACATGATGCGGCTTCCTAATTATAATGAACAGAGGCTACCACAATTACCCCTTATAATTTTTTCTATATACTATGCTACGAAAATACCTGGGTTTATATAAAAGAAAACAGCAGGTTTAACATGGGATAAACTCTATTGTTAGCTGATATTTTTACTTTTTTCATTACCTTTATCTGAATTTATTATTCTTTTCTGACAATTCTGTATCTCTATGACTATAAAATTTGAATGTGCTAACCAGTAACACTACTAATTTATTGGTAATGTTTCGACACTACATTTATGTCCCACGTGTTTTCTTATTTAAGCACATCTGGTCTTAAACCTAAAAAATTTACAAAAATTTTACCCGAAAATATTGTGCCATTTCAGGTTCAGCTATTTTCGCTATATCTAATCTGTAACAGTTTAGTGAATTATATGATGAATCACTATAAAATTGTCTTGTTAAATATTCTAATATGGACTTAATAACGCAGAAAATTCCACTACAATTTTAATCGGAAGTTATATTTTTTAGGCGTAGTATCCGATATCCATGACAGTTTACAGAATAATATCCCTGCCACCAGGGAAATTATTCCTCAGAAAAGATGGGTTATCCTATCAAAAGAAAGTAAGTCCTTATTATTACTAAATATCAATACGCAATAAAAATAACGGATACCAAGGCTGAAAGTCCCGTAATGGTACCACCACCACGACTTTCACCTTTTCGTTTACTAACTTCTGTAGTACTCATTATAACATTATATTAAAAGCCAGAAATGAATAAAATTAAAGATATTAACCAGTTAAAAATGCATTACTGGCTACTGCGTTCGGTTCTCCTAGCCAAGATATAAATCGTTTACATTTAGCATTTATTATACTTGCAAATAAGTTTTTTCCGGGATACCGGAATAAGAGGTTATTCTTTAAAAAGAACGGAAAACTGCTAGTCACCATTCCGTCTACTATTCAGAATAGCGGAAAGCTTTATCAGCTCGATAATTAAATTTGGAAAATATAAATAGGCAACAGTTCACACCATCGCCAAATTGTATGAGCAAGAGTATTTAACTTAAGATATTGTACACTTCCCATTCGGTTAACACATTATAATGATTGTAGCTACAATGTTATCTCCTCGGTACAGTATATTAATTTACGGTTTTTCGTCTGTAAAACATTTTAATCTGAACAAAACTGATGGAAGCAGTAGAAAATTTATATGATAGTCTTGTTCAGATTCTGACCAAAAAACCCATTACAGGAGTCGACAATATATCTTATTTACGAGACGAGGAAGAAATATAATAAGTCATCTATAAATATGCTTTTTGGATATTTTGTATAGCTTTTGCTTATGCATAATACTCGTACCATAACAACTAATAGAACTAATAGCTTCATTAAGTTCACTATAAATAGACCTTATTTACAACCATATATGTAATGTTGTCATTACTAACGTTATTAAAAGTTGGGAAGTGTCACATTACCGCCCTCACTTCCCGCCCTCATTTTATCTATTATTCCAGATGAATATTATTTATATTTAAAAAAAAATAACACATTTTTTTGACAAATTTTATAATACCTATTTAATGGCAAACAATAAAAAACAACAATGAACTAAAATATAACAATCGAAATATGATGGTTGTAAATAAAATAGTATACAAACCTCGGTAGGAAGTTGCATTCCTGTCTCGAGATCATAGCTAACCTCGACGCTTCACGTCTCGGTGATCTAATTAATCTCACGACAGGAATGAAACTCTTCCCACCTCGGTATGTAATATACTATTACCGTATTGGTTTTAGGGCCAAACAGGAAGCAGCAACAAAAGCATACGCAATACCATTTGCACGTTTAGATCAAATACTATTATTATCAAAGAAAACTTCTCCACTTTACGTTACAACAAATAGCTCAGAAGATGACGCGAAATAAAATGGGCGATATTTGTGTTTATAATAATACTTAAGTATTAGAAATGATAAAAAAATATAAATAATAAAACAAAGACCAAAATATAAGGGACGAGGGTACACATTAGACAATACTAAATATAAGGTGAACAATAAATATGAAGAATGACTTACCTTTCCAGGAGGCAGGTAGCACATGGCTCCTCCAAAGAGGAAAACAAAAATAAATATTTTCATAATGGAGGCGGTTGTCGACCTGAAAATATGTAATTAAAATTTTTCTTTCAATAAAGAAGTCAATAATTATCAGCGTTTTTTATATAATGGATGATGGGGTGGAAAACAAATCAAAAAAAATTCGCTACTGATAGGAACTGAAATGACATCTTTGAAATGCCAATTCAACATCCTAACCGCTAGACAATACAGTACGGTGTGCATCCTGCGACTAGTTATTAATATGAGGCCTATAGTGAAAATTGTTTTTAATAATCTTTAAAGTAATTTTTGTAATTTAATAATTTTTTTAATATTATTGATATTAGATTAATCTCTTTACAACATTCCCTTTTAATCATATTTAACTCATTTATTTTGCCAAGGATTCACTAATGTTAACAAAATATTATTAATCAGGAAAGTAAACTTAGTCTTAACCGCATTATTTTAATTTATTTAAGAAGCACAAGTTTAGATCAAATGATCTTCATCAGCTTCTCAAGAAAAGTATAATTTGTATGATGGTTATAGTCTAGAGAAGAAAGGAATGCAGTAATTTAATTTACAGAACGTAGTACAGGTTCAAGAGGTAGACATTTTGTTTATACCTCATCCTTCAATGCTTATTTGTAGTTTAAATCTGACCGGGTTAATACTTTTTTTCGTTTAGACTTAATTATGTTTTCATGATTTTTACTGTAATAAACCTTTTGTTTTGACAGATAAGTCAGACTTTATTTATACATAGCCGTATCGTATGTATTTTAATTAATTTTGTATTAGTGTATGTTATAATTTTACAGTTATCTAAGAATGGCGAGTTCATTAGAAAACATTGCAAGCACAAGTACGAGTAAACTACCTGGTTGACACAAAGCATTATCTTTAGAAGAAAAAATATCGTAGTTAATATACTTAATAATCTTCGAAAGGACTTTGTTTTACTTTCTGTAGATGAAATAGCCACTAAATGTGAGACCTATGCTGGAGTATCTAAGCGATCAGTGTATACCATTATTAAAGTAGATACAGTTATTGGAGAAGTATCACACTCGAAAAAGTCCCCAGAAAGAAACAAGACCTTTATTGAAACTTTGGTAAAGAATGTAATAAGGCAAATGGTACATTCTTTTTTCTTACAAAATGAAATCTTTACACTTAAAAAAGTACACTCAGAAATAGAAAGTAGCCCCATTCTTCCAAATATATCATATTTACATCTGCAAAAAATGTTACATGAATAAAAATTTTTGTTTACAAAAAACGTTACAGAAACAGCCTTTTATTATTTAAGGAAGGAATCAGCATAAACAGGTATTTTATTTAGATGAAACATGGGTTTTAATGCTAGAGATACAATAACAAAAATTTGGCAAGATAACTTCATCAAAACTAAAAAACAAGCCTTTATGCAGAAGTTTTCTGGTGGATTAAAAAATCCAATAGGAAAAGGAAATCGTTTAATAATAACCCACATTGGAAGCACCGATGAATGTTTGCCAGATGGTTTATTAATGCTCGAGTCCAAGAAAACGAAAGACTACTATAAAGAAATGGATGGCCCTATGTACGAAAATTGATTTTAGAGCATTATAAAAAAATTCCAACCAACTCCGTTATTGTTTTGGATAATGCATCCTACTTCAGATAATGATAATGATACTAGCAGTTGTAGTGAAGTTATAGTAACTTTTAAAAATAATTCTTAAACTTTTTATTTTTTTAATCTTTGATTTTAGGTACTGAAGTGTTATTTTTAATTCCAAGAGATTAGAAAAAGTTTAATCCCATTTACAACATAAAATCCTCCTTGTTATTTATTGGTTAAATTAAATTCGTTCAATGTTAAAGTGCAACATTTTGTCAAAAGCATAAGGTAAATAACTTTTTTTATTCAAAATTTAATTTACGAAGCGCGTATACCTATCCTATTTATATGGTGTGACCTTATTTATATTATAGAAACACTTATTTTGCGAAGTATGTCTATGGAATTTGACGTTATTTCCCCACTTTTACTGCATTCCTCTTTAATTCAGACTATAGGAACACTAGTATAGGTCAAACGATCATCATCAGATTCGTAAAAAAAGCATAATTAGGCAATCCAATGTCCTGTCAGAATTGACAAAAATGGCCGATGCTTGGAGAAGACAATAAAGCTTCTTAACCTGACTTATTCATTAGTACAGTATTGCCCAAAAAAAAACAGTACTAAACTTTTTCATTTATTCAAGAAATACATATTATTGAGACTTTATTCACATGGCCCGACAAATGAAAATGTGCTTCGTCTAAAATACATTTTTCAAAAACTCAGGATTTTCATACTGTAATGCGATAATTCTGGCGGAATATTCCTCTCTACTGCAATAATTCCGGGGAAATAATTGTTGATGTACCTGCATCACATACGAAAATGAACGCAGCTTCTTTAGGATTATTTGCAAGGAAGTTGCAACGCTGTCCTTGTCTAGCTGACTAAAGGATTTTCTGCCCAAAAAGGTGTTCATGGTTATTATTGTTGTTAGTTGTACTGGGACGCCCCGAGTTGTCTTTTCGTTGGCACAGTACATTACCTGTATTTCTAAACTTTTTAATAAACTTGTTTAAGGTTTACTTGACAGATCTGTACATGCGGGCGCAAAGATATACCGCCAACTTAGTTTCAGTGCAATATTGCAATACTGTATTTGATTGTTATTGCAAATCATGCAATTAATATTCTATATTTTCAAAATAAATATTTATTTATGCCATTTTTCACCCAAACATACCGAAAGAAACTCTAAATACTCCAAAAAAAAAAATACAAACTTAGACTAATAACCTTACTAGAAGTGTTTTTGTCAAGGGAAGCACGAACTTTTATTGTTTTTGCCAAGGGTACACCATTTAAAGTCACGTGAATTGAATTGCCTAATTTGTATGATGAAATAAACAATTTATCAAGGCCAAGGGTAATGCCAATACCACGAGTCCTTCAAATTTTATCGATTAAATTGATAATTTCCACGAAAACGTCTTTATTTGGAAAAACAATGAAAACAAACATTGATAAAATCTGGACTCCTCATGACGAGTGATTTTATCTTAAATCGGTTTAATTGAGTAGGTAGTTTTGCTTAAACTAAAATCTTTTGAGTTTGGAAACTCATGTGGAATTTGAAAAGATTATTTTTTGAATCATTTTGTGTGAAAAGGGCACAATAAAATGATCATCATCATTAAAATTATAAATATTTGTTTATTTTATAGTAATATAATATCCTTTATAGTCTAAAAATATAATAAATACGGCAACGCCGTATTACTGTAAGAGATGGAATTACGAGACGACGGGCATGCGCGCGGCGAAAAGTAGAATATTTTTCTTTTAAAAGATTTTGTTTTACTGTGATTTTAGTATCTTAAACTATGAAATAGAATAGATAAACGTATTTAATTTAGTTAATTTAGAATTGTTTGGGTATTTATAGACCATGTCTAATCGTTAAAAATTGTGTTTTAGCGGGTTAGTTTTGTTTAGTGATTAAACAAACAAAAACAAGTTAGTTTATTACTGATTTTAATTTTACAGAATATAATTCATAATTTTGATATTTGAGGTACATTGTAGTTTAATAAAAGTTTTTAGATTGTTTAGTTGTCTGGTCAAAAGATAAACAAAGTTTTATCAAGAAACAAAAAGGAAGAAATGGTTTAATCAGTATAAAACTCAATGATTGGTTAGGATAGCAAGTTCTAATTGGCTGATGTCACAAAGTTTGACTAGTTTGACAGATGAAAAAAATAATCTGCAATAAATAAAATAGCAAATAACAATAAATTAAGGTCAAATGAAATTAAAAATTATAAGTAAATATACATTACCAAAAAATTATATAAAATATTAAGTAAAACTGTAAAGCATATACAAGTATGTATACATACTTTCATTAGTGATTAAAAATAGCAAAAAATCTATTGAAGAAATAATGATTGGTAGTTAAAACGGTAAGGATGACATCCTTGGATCCTTAAAAAACCGATTTCCAGAGGCGTCCATTAAGGGATCGTTGGGGTGTAGAAACTTATCATATTATTTTTATGTATTCTAACTAAATCCAGAAGATTGCTTATATATTTTACCCTGTACAGGGTGATTCATCAAGGGTGGCGATTGGCCGTATCTCAAAATATCTTGAAGTATAATTCTTTTTCAATTTTTATTTCAAAGGGGACACTTTTCTATAATATCCTCAACTGTCATATGTCATTTCTCTCCTCTACGTCAATCTTAACCAACTATCTAAACAGGGATAGTACCAAGTATGACACATCGTTGGAAAGATAATTTTTAGGGGAATTCAGGAATATGACTGTTTATTGCGCCTTTATAGCGCCTTCTAGCGGGATAAAAATTTATTACCTATGATAATGTGTGACACTTCATTTGGAAGCTAGTTTTATCAGTAATCCAATGCACCACATAACATTAACCTAGATATCTCGATATTGCACTTGCAACTAAATGAATTTAGTGATAATGCGTTCTTCTTTCATTTTAAGTTCATTTTTGATTTAGTTAACATATTATTACAGAGTGTATTAAATAACTAATAAAATTACCCTCCAAATGAAGTATCACACATTACCTTTACGACGATTTGTCATACTTGGTACTTTCCCTATTTAAATTGAATTGGTTAGATTGACGTAGGAGAGAGGAATGACATATGATTTTATAGGAAGGTGTCCCCCTTGAAATAAAAATCGACCTGTTTTTGCGTTTCTTTCAAAAAAAAAAAACTCTTTCAAAATATTCTGAGATACGGCATGTCGCCACCCTTAATGGATCGCTCTGTATATTATAAAAGATAAAAGTATTTCGTCAGCTAGTGCTGACTGCTTAAACAGGTAAATATGAGGGGTCATCTGAATATATTAATTTTATGTGTTGCTGTATATTTTCTAATTGTTAATATTTTGCCTTTAATAATATATTTTTACTTTCCTATCTGTATACAGATAAGGAAAGTATAAGAATCGTGATTT